TTACTGGGTAACTTTTGGCCTGTTGACCATATTTAGAGTTATAACTACAGCCAGTAGGTGCTAAGTGTATAGTTCTTCAGGGTTTCAGAAAGCTAGTTTACTACTATACTGTGCACAGACCTAATAAGCCTGTACTGGAGATAGAAGTAGAATGATTCTATATTACATGCATGCACAACTGAATGATTCAGAACACATCTCCCTTCATTGCTAGCAAAGAGGCTATCCATCTGGTCTCTCTATCTGCAGGAGAGGTCAGAAAGTGCAAACACAGTACTGGGCTTCTTTCAGAAAGAGCAAGCCCAGCATGCTCTGCAAACAGAGTAATATGAAAGAACCCTGTATTATTTTTTTATTTATAAAACAAACTTGCTCAGAAGCCACTAAAGCCGCAGAGAGACAGCACTGGTAGAAGAAACAGGATGATCCTCTAGTTTCAGAGTGGTGCACACTTTGTCAATAAGAGTTTAAAAGATCTCCTTTAATTTGGAAGTTATAGCAGTAGACTGTGACTCCTTTGGTATAAGCACTTCAGTCAAGAAATACAGTGACTCTATGGAGTCTCTGCAGCCAATGGTCCAGAAGCCACTAAAGCCGCAGGCAAATCATATATAGAATCTGCAGGGGAGGCAACGGAAGGTGAGCTTGTGGTTACTGCAATCAGAGTCAGCAAACAACTGGGTGATTTTGGCCACAAAGTTTTTCATTACTATGGTAAAGACTTCGGGTGAAAGGGCAGAGGATGCAGCCACACCTAGCGAAGCAAAAGAGGCCTTCAAAGAGGGCAGCATGACTTCAGGCTGCAGATGCCAGCAAAATTAGTAGGTGCACTGCAAGCAGCCTTGGAGTTGTATGTAGAAAGTGAGATGGAGGTGACCGATGCATGGGACTATGCCCTCCTTGTCTAGAATGACATGATCAATGATTATACAGCAATAGAGAATGACAACCGGCTCCAGAGGACTATCTCAGCAATCCTTGATTGCTGGTTGCCATTCTCCATTGATGAATAATCATGAATTGCTGAGATTTGTAGTCCTCTATAGCTGGTTGCCATTATCCATTGCTGTATAATCACGGATTGATGGGATCTATAGTCCTCTACTGCTGGTTGCCTTTCTCCACTGCTGAATAATCATGGATTGAGTTACAGTTCTTCATAATTATAAAGAAACTGCCCTAAAATCATTAGTCTGTATTGTTTTAGAAAAAATGTCACTTGTCCCTTTAAGAAAAAGTATCGGTAATGGGTATCGGCATGTACCTGAGCAAAAGTACTTGTACTTGGTCTTGAAAAAATGGATATCGGGACATCCCTAATGCAAACGCTGTGTAGTGTTGGACAGGGCCACACAGAGAAGATATCTGGGGTGGGGCTGAAGTATTTAGCTATGTGGGTTACACTAGTAGGGAGAAGGGAGGTTTTAAAGATTAAATTCAGACACATCCTTTTTTAAAACAAAAAGTTGGAGAAGAAAGTTTTTACTGCTGTCCATAACCCATTAAAGCTGAGAAATTAAAAGTAGCGTAGGGAAAGTATAGAACCCCCATCTGCTTTTTATTGCACATATTTTATAGGGCAGCTAAAAGTGAAGTTGTTCTTTAATATGATAAGGTAGGGAACCAGCTCTATAAATAAACAGTTCTGCCTAACTTGTCTGCCTGTAATAGCTATTTACATATGTACTATGCTCAGGAATTCATACTTTGATTTTGGTTCTTGCTAGTAGCATAATGAACACACCACTAGCTGGTTTGGGTGGCCTACTGTCCTCACACATTTCAATATGCCCAGAGGGTAGGAAACCATTCTGCTGGCCAGACCAGCATCTCTGGAAAAGTGACATAAGCCATGGATTTGGGCAGCAAGGTTTCAGGTCAACTGTCTCCCTAATATTTCATTATCTATTTCATTCCTACTTACACAAAACCTGTTTCAATTGATGTGCATATGTGACAAGCTTAAAGGGAAACACTACTTTGGCCATGTAAAATAACAGGTTCTCTTCACTTTTCTACTCCCCAGCAGAACATGCTCACCTTTCCTTCATTCTCCTGCTGCTCGTGTTTGGTCACCTGGAGTAAAAAGAAATACTGAATGCCTCCATGTATGGTGGAGCATGTCACTCACTCGGTCCAGTGCTGTCACTTAAAGGAAGAATAAAAGTTCACAGCTCTGTGCATGCAGCTGAACAAAGAGGTGGAGGAGTGAAGCAAAGGTGAGTATGTTCTGCTGAGGAGCATGGAAATTTAAGAAGAACTATGGTAAAACTGTAAAAACATGTATGTGAGGTGGGCTGCCCCTACCAGTATGACTGGGCTCTCTATTTTTCTCAATATCCCTGGGACTTTTTTTTTTTTTTAAATAGCTCTTGATCCTGCCTGTAGAACCATTGGAGGATTGTAGAACCACTTAAAAAGTAGCCATCGCTCTCGTGATGGACTACAATCTGTTGTTTAGTTTACCAATTTATATTGAGATTGTAGTCCATCACAGGAGTGGTCTTGGAATGCAGCGTCAGCATACAGTGTCAGCACTAATTCAGAGATGATTTGAAAATCTACAGCCGAGTGACACACAAATAAGGTACAGTTTTCTTAAATGATAAGGTACTTAAAAATGTTACTTGTTTATATGTATTGTTAACAATTTTGCATTTGAAGGGGGCCACCTTATTTGGTCATGACATATGACGGCTCTGTTTCCTGCTTTAAAAATTGAAAAAGTCATATAAAAAATCACTTTAAAGTAAACACTGTAAAACAAAAACCTCAAACATTCAGTCAATGAAAACACACTATACAAGTGGATTGGTTTACTTGCTAAAGTATTTGTAATTCTACTCTGCCAGTCTTGTGATAAAGGCTTCCCTTCCAAACTGGACAGTCAACTTAGCCCTACTTGCAACAACACTGCATTTAAAGGAGAATTATGGGGAAAGTTTGATACACTCATACCCATAATTGGAAACTGCGTGTGACACTAAAGCTGTCACACCATTGGCCCTATAGATCAAGAACTGAGCGATCACATTCCGCTAATCACAGAGTTCCCTATCTTTTCCCTGCATAGAGTGGTGACTATCAGTCACTGCTCCCCACAGGGATTCCCCCTTCTCCGTTCCTCCAGCAATGACGGGAGGGATGGATGGGGGAGAGGGCGGGTACAGCTGGCTCTGACTCTAGAGAGGTGGCATGGTGGATCTCAACAATATTGTCGGGATCTTTCCTGGCCACACCGCGGCTCTGCGCTGTCAGCATATAGTGGGAATATCTTAGTCTCTGTTCACACCTAGGCGTCAGCATATTGGCGCATTTAGTGCACGTTTTAAAGTGTACCATTCAACGTGTTCAGCGCGGTTTTGCAAATTTTTATGAGCATTAGACGTGCATACATAAAGACGGGCATTGTATTGAGCAGACTGAAATGCATTGCGGTGAATGAGCAAACGTGTGCACAAACGAGCACAGACATGTGCAAAATGCTTGTGTCACACGTTTTAATTGAAGTCTATGCGGTCAAACGTGCTGTAATTTGCCTGAAAGAAGCTCATGTGCCTTTTCCAGTGTTCAATATTTTACAGCTTGCGACAAAACTCTCAGCTGTGAACAGGGCCTATAGAAATGAATGGGATTCCTTGTGTTGAGAGTTTTGTCACGCTTAGCTTTGAGCGTCAAAACACTTAGTGTGTGCCGCTGTACTGGGAATTACAGCGGACTGAAATCCAAACAGCTTTAGGAACTTATGCTAGTTATATGTAAAAATGTATGATTAATAACACATTTTTACAATTATTCCTTTACAAAATTGTTCAATAGTGTGCAATTTTACATTATAAATGACACTCTGAGGAAAAAACTATGTATGGTTTTCGGGCTCAACTACTTTGATCTATGTCTTCCAACATTTCTAAAAAAAAAGTTTTTTCTTTTTTGTAATTTTTCAGAACACAGAGAAGAGAACTGCGGTCATAGAAATGCAGTTTGATGTTCAAAGCTTAGTGGTGACTAGTCCGCTTCAGACCAGCAAACATAAATCTTTGATGTTAAATACCAGGTGAAAGCTGTAGCCGCTACTGAGGGTTGTAACTGCATCATTACATGCAATTACTTGTTGTGTTGTAATTCCCCAGTGGCAATAATTAGCCTACCTGTTGACACACTATTTCTACAGTGCATCTGTTAATGTAGGCAATTGATTTGCACATGGGTGTAATTACCATCACTGATGGGGTTGGAGATGAGCTTTCCCACCAGGGTCCTGTCAATCACCAACTTCTCCAGCTGTGGCCCTGAAAGGCTTATGGACACAAGCACACCGGAACTGAACAAGAGCTGAAATGAGAAATAAACAATAGGCACGCGATTACAATGCTGTAGGGTTCAACACAGACAAACTATACAGCAATAGTGACAAGTGGAATAGCACGCTTTGAAATTGTTTGTCTATAAGTGCTTTCTCTGCACTAGTGTTCTGTACATTGCAAGATTGATCTAACCATGTATGGCTGGCTTAAGTATAACTGAAGGAAGGTTTCATTGAATACCACAGGGTGAACGACAGGTATTGTACACTGACATAAAAAACAGAGGACAGTAGAAAGTGGGTTGCTACCTTTGATTTATCGTGAAATCCATTGTTTGAGTATAATGCATGGCACGTTTCGTGTCAAGTTTCAAGGCAAAGTACAAGAATTTTAAAGGAGTTCTAAAGTCCCAGCATATACTCTCTTCTTATAACAGGAATACATACTTTAGCTGGTTTTTATAATGCAATCAAACTTACTTGAAAAAATCCCTTTTATGTAGTGAGTTCTGCCTTCTGTCTGGCCATCACTTTTAATAACTTCCTGAATTCCCAGTGTGCTTTGCACTTTCCCTGCTGCTTGATGTGATACAATCTCGATTTCTCAAGACTACATATCCCGTCATGCATTTCTTTCAGCAAGCAATGATCATGTTACATTTAATAGCAATGAAGGCTGCACTAGGATTTTAGTGTATAAACTTGACCAGCGGCAACAAATCCTCAGTGAGACAACTAATAAAACATATAACTACTAGTAGTTATATGATCATATAACATTGTTCAGATGTTGAGTTGTAGTTCAGAAGGCAGGCTCCATAAGAGTGGTGACACAAATGAGTACATATACACTGAGCTGAGTGATATTGTGTCAGTGCATTGAGGAAGTACATTCTATGGGCATCTTCAATAAGTTTACAAACTTCTATTATTAGGAGTGGGACAGAGCTTATGGAAATTTAATATAGAAATACATATTTATTTTTAGTTTTTGATCATCGATACCCTTTAAAGATGTTACCGTCTGAAATATTTCTAAATATTTGGCTTGCTCCGTCAAGAAACGTGAGCCACTAGAAGGCTTAGTCTAAGCCACATTGTAACCTAACAGACAGCTGACGTCTTAGCTTACAAAGGGCAGACACATCTTTTGATTGCAGCAAAGTTAAAAAAAACAATAGGCAGGTTAAGATTTGTACGCAACTTCTGGTGACTGTTTCTTTGGATCCAGTGATCATATTGACAGGTAACAAAATAGATTTTGATTGGTTGCTGCACTTAAAGGAGAACTATGAGGTGAGTGATTTTCACTCACCTCATAGTTCTAGCCGACCTGTGACAATGAGACTGTCATAGGTCGGCTCAGTAGATCGGGAGGTGAGCGAACACATACCGGCGTTCGCTCACCTCTCGATCCCGTCACGGCTCTCTGCCGTGACAGGGGAGGGGCTGGATTCCCCCTCCCAGCTCCGACCTGTCAGCGCTGACTGGCGGAACGGACGGGGAGGGGGCGGGTACAGCTGGCTCTGCCTTTAGATAGGCAGAGCCAGCTGTCAGTCACGCAGCTGGGCGGATCCCGGCACATTTTTTTCGGGATCCGCTTCAGCTGCGGCGTCTCAGTATACCGCGAGCTACAGCTGGCGGTATACTGAGCCTAGGGTGATGGGAGGACGCTAGTTTGTGTCCTCCCGTTACCCTAGGGAGAACTATGGGGAAAAGACTTAACCCCATAGTTCTCCTTTAAGAGTAAGAGTTCTCTCTTAGCTCACAGGTTTATGTGAAAAAGGAGTTACCTGCAGGCCATACCAATTGCTCGTATTGTGATGCAAATAGAAAGAATGATTCTCTTTGGGAGCAGACTTCAATCTCTTTTATGGCCAGTCATTAATTTGCTATATATTGAAAATAGTTGTCTTCTTTACAAAGGCATGGTGGGCCCTTGCCTATCCCCCTTCTTTATTTCTACCTACTACTTTTTTTCCTACCTCTACTATTACCTATACTTCTAGATGAACTTGCCCCACCAATGTAATGGTCTCCCAAAAGAGGTTCTTTTAAAGCATGCCAACTGTCAAGGTTCCCAGTGTGCTTATTTCAACTCTCAACCAAACTCTTAAGCACCCATATGGTTGGTGTCATAGTTGATCACATGTAGAGCACCATGGCAAGTGCAATCCCAATAGAGGCTAAGATGGTGCCTTCCTTGGCTGTAAGTGATAGGAGGTTGTAGTTCCACTTTAAGGTATTTGGTTTTCTTCTCAATAATTAGAGCGTGCCAGGGCAATCATGGCACCTAAACCTGACTAAGAGCCCATTCACACCAGGGCGGTTGCGGATCAGCGCGGTTACCGTACTGATCTCGCAAGGGAGGTTTTGGGAGTGTTTAATTGCGTTTCAGTGCTAAAATCATTGAAACCTGTATGGAAACCGCACTGATCAGCACGGCAAAAATAGTGCGATCCGAACCGCTCCCCGCCCGAACTGGGAGCAGTTTGGGCGTGGAGCGGTTTGCATCGCGCGTACCCGCATGAACAGTCCCCATATCAATGTATGGGATCGTTCATGTCGGCGGATCCATGTGGCCGAACTGCCCCGGTGTGAACGGGGTCTAACTTTCTCCACGTATGCTTGTGTTCACGAACTGACAATTGTTCTTGATACTGCCAAAACACTTCTAACCATTGAAGATGTACAACCTTATATTTGTACTTGATCCTCCGTTGTTACTCCCGGTTTGTATTGATATATTTCTCTTGCTTTAAATATAATTTTATTGAACAAAATAAAAAAAGGAATGGAGGATAATGATGAACCACTACAAAAAGAGGAATCTGGCAATTAAAAGATTAAAATATTCTAATTTCTCTTGGAAAGACACTATACACAGAATAGAAGAAACACATACAATCAAACAAATATAAATTAAAAAATATTAGGCCAGCAAGATATTTTTTTAAAAATGGCAGGAAATGAGCATGGCCTAATTAAAACAGCATAATGGGTTACTTGGATCCTGTCCCAAATAAATAAAAGGGATAGTAACGTACAGAAAATGCAGAGTTAAACACACTTTGACGGGTGCACATTCCTCTTCATGAAAAGAACAAGGTAGGGGGGCTATTAACTGCTTTATATTAAGATGACCTTCCATATGCTTAACAAGTCTTTAAATGTATGTAGAGATCCAGTGGCTAAGCATGGTTGATTACAAACGATTTGGCATAGCAAGTGTCAAGCCTTGTCTTGGACTCAGTATTATGTACTCTTTCACTTTCTTAACCAGAGTGCCAGGTCACAGCAACATTTTGACTGACTATACAAATATTTGTTCACTTGTCCAAATTCATTATACCCACTATTTTATCTTAGTGATATATTTGTATGCGCTCTTAACTCCAGTCAAAACTTTTTGGGATTTGGGCAGAGTGAAGAGTTAGAAGCTCTGTCAGGTTTTTATTGCTGTCTCTGTCCCCATTCCTACTGTTTGATCATCGTAAGAGGAAGTGGACAAATATCTCTCCAACAGGTATGCAGCAAAAACTTAAGAGAGGACCTAACCTAACCCAACTCTCTGTTGTTGCCCATGGTTTATACATACAGTATATTATGGGTTTTTGCATTGTTGTCAGAATTATATTGAAAAAGGGTATATATGAAAGGCTATATATGAAAATGGTAGGTTTAATGAACAGTAAATCTAATAATGCTCTAAAGAACAGCTTCCTCCAACAAGTAGGTAGGATTGTGGCTTAGGCACTGCACACTGTGAAGGACTACAGAAGCATCCTCCTTTCCCTTTTCTCCATTAAAGAGATGGGTAGTACCCTGTAGTCCTCAGTCATGTGACATGTTTCCTGGTTATCCCTACTTACTTTGCTGAAAAAAAAAACCCTTCTTTACAGATGACAATATCTTGGTACTAATTTGTTTTCCACGGTCTCTGGCATTTGGCACCTCCTTTTCTGCACAATCCTATCATTCCTTTGGTATGTCTCCAAACTGTGTTTTGGCAGCAAAATACCACCTGATGTTTCATAAATATGCAAGCGTTTGGATTTAGTAAGATCTGACTGTTCCTATTAAGCACCTCATGACATCTCCCCCTCAGTCCACAATCCATCTTCCTCTGTTCCCCCTTCTTCCTTTACCCTCTGGTCCATAAGTAGTTCCTGCTCTGCATTCCCATGCTAAGACCCGCACGGAGCGGGCAACTGAGAAAAGTCAGAAGGAGGGTTGCACTTTTTGAAAAATACACTCTAGACTAGAAAAGTTTACACTGTAAACACAATGCTTCGAAAATATGCTAAAATTTCCATTGATAGAAGAATGATATTTAGTGTCTACCCCCTCTCGCCCCGACACCACAGCATTACATTACTTGGCAAACGTGCAGGTGCTCCTTGCCTTTCTTCACTTTGGCTTCTGTATCTTGCTTTACAGAAAGGAAGTTAGCTGAAGACATCCCTCTAAAGGCAAATGAGTAATACATCTAGTGACAACAGTTAATTAGAAATTGTTTCAACACTAGGGTGGCTGCTAATGCAGGATTACATTTGTGCATATTAAAAAGTACAAAAGAAAACAAATACTTGACATCCCTCAATTATAAAACAAAAGTTGAAATGTAGAGTTATATTCTTCTCTTACATATACAAAGTCATGGGGAAAACTGATTTATGTTTGACATCTCGGTTCAAGGAAGTGGAGGGAAAGCTATATTTAAATGTACTAAGAAGCTTTATGATTTATTTCCTTTTAATGCCTTTTTTGTGTCTATATGTCCAGACCACAGATATCGCATGTATAATTTATAAATAAATAATTCTAAATGTTTGATGTCTAGGAAGGTTACTTACCCTAATAGGGAATACCAACATCCCTTTTAAGTTATAACACAAGAAAATCAGCCAATATGGGACTTTTAAGGTTCATTGTAATTATAACATCAGATAGTGCACCTCTTTAAAACATACATCTTATAAAATGAGTTATTAAAATACTTGAAAATAAATGGTAAAAAACTACTCAT